GTCCCTCAATATCCTCGCAGGAATGCCGTCTACTCCAGTTGCTTTATTAATGTCTAAGTTGCAGAGGATATTCTTTACTTCACTGTACGAAGTGAATATATCCATCAATAAGTTAGGGTTGATCACATCAACATGAGAGCTGTCAGAGTTTGATGTTTTTGTAGAGAACACGGAGCTGAAGAATTCATTGAACAGGGAAGCTTTTTCCACAGGATCTTTAGCAGACCTGGCTTTGCCAGAGTAAGTTATTACTTCTGGCAGTCTCTTGCTCTTGGATTTAAGAGAATGAAAAGACCAAAACTTCCTTGGATTAGTCTTCAGCTTATCCGATAGAGACTTTAAGTACTGGAAATACTTAAAGGAGATAAGACGTTTGGTCTGTTTCCTAAGAAATTTAAACTTTGTTGTCACCTCAAGAGAAGCATTGGCCCTTAAACGCTTCCACAAGACTTTCTTTTTCCTCACTAACTTTAAGACCTCTTTATCTATCCATGGAGGTCTTGGCTTGCGTCTAAGCTTCATCTTTGGTACATGTTGATTGACTGCCGCGAGAACAAGATCTTGGAAATTCGCCGTACCTGAGTCAATGTCCTCACAAGATATATAGGAATCCCATAAAATGTGAGAGAATGTATTTCTTAGACCATCAATGTCAGCTTTATCATATCGGTAAACTAATCTTTGACTGTTTTTGGGCCTGTTGAACTTTTTCTTGATCGCGAAGCAGACTGGGAAATGGTCTGAATCAAATCCATTTGGGTGCACAGTAGTTCCTTCGATGAGTGATTCATGATTCGTCAACACAAGGTCTAAGATGTTACCAGATGATAAGGTATTAGTGGCACTGGGACGGGTGATATTATGATGATTATTATGAAATTTCTCCACCGCATGTCCCTGGTGGATCGTCGCCTTAACGATGTGTTGGAAGTGAGGGAGATCTCTTTTCATATTATTCTCATGTAAGAATTTCAATCTTGTTTCACACGAAGAATCGCCGTCATTTTTTGTCTTAATCAGGAAAATTTCCCTGACGAAGGATGTCATGGAGGAGACTCCTCTGGAAGATTTCCAACTCGTAGGTGTGTATAACGCATTGTTGAAATGATAGTCAAGTAAGCAAGAAAGAGGTGAAGATCGATGAAGGCTTGGTGAAAAGATGTTTTTTTTTGGTTTATATTTCGATTGTCTCTACTCCAATGTGGTTTGTTCTTATAATCGCTTCTATGGCAAACTAGAGCAGCCATAGATAACCTTCCATTTGATTTAAACACTTTTCATGTCTGTGTTATTTTGTATTTAAAGTGATCTAGGGTCGGATTGAGGATACCTCTTCGAAGAGACCTGGACTGGAATTTCAGAGCGGAGAATGCTGGATAGATGGAAGCTATACATAAACGCTTTACTGAATGGCCAGTATGAGACGATCGTTCCGGTGAAAATCAATGTCTATTGTCCAAGTTGTAGTTTCAGTTACTGCTGGCTGCCCCCTGCCAAGAGTTATTTATCATGAAGAATTCAAAGATAACACATAAAACTCCATCTTTCGTCAGACTCAAATAAACTGCCAAACATGTTTTCTTGCGGAGGGATGTGTAATTCAGAGGGGAAAAAAAAAAGGAAACGACCTTTTACGTCGCGTTTCACTAGACCACGGAAGCCTCTTTCCATTGGTATTAAATAATTCCCTGAATATCGAACGACTGTGGAATAAACTGAGATTGAATTTTAAGCGCTTTCGTGCACCGTAAAAAAAAGATAGTCATGAATAAAAAGATATTTATAAAAATAGCAATGGTGGTAAACACGAGAAATATAACGTGTAAAGCCTCTTTACCTTTATTCCATACCCGCCTTATCTCTCCCAGCTGCTTTTAGTGCTATTTTGTCGTCTTTTTTTTTGTACTGGGTGTTGTTCACCATAAAAATAGGAAAGGCAGGTTAACCGAACCGGTCCCAAGCACCAACCGTCGTGACTAGAAGGCCAATGCCGCAAAATTCACAACCCGTTCCAGTAGCAACAGTTTCAAAATTCCATTACATCAGCCCGAGAGGTGCATCATGTTTTCATCCATTCTGGCCTAAGCATCTAAGTTTGGTGACTACCTCTGATCAAATAAATTATAATCTCCTTGGAGAGGGTTGTCATTTGGGTCCCATTGCAAAACGACACCGTGCGGGAGAGTCGGTGCGTGTGATTCGACCGGAAACAATGCGCACGTCTGTCAACTGAAACGTGTTGAAAATGGAAACCCGCGAAAAGTTGTGACAAGATCGTTCTGTTCATGTGAGGTCGGTTATATGTGATTTCATCTTAGTTTGAGTGTTTGAGTCTGTGACCAATATAGTTCCAAATTAGTATTTCTTTGGATTTTTGTATCTGTTTCGTAAAACATTGGAAAACGTTGCACTTCTGATGGATACAGCGTCGTTGTGATGATGGCGAACTTCACTAAAGAACAAGCTGAAGTAGTTAATTTCGCTGCATTGTCCTTATTGATGGAGGGCTTATCACTGGGCAAGTCGGCACAAGCAAATCTTGGGTGGTGAGTGCAACCTGAGAGGATTGCAAGCAGAGAGGACGAAACATGGCATTGGTATGTTCCAGTGGTATTCCATCCTGGGTTTATGGACCAGCCGTCGCTGCATCTGCCAATTCGCATCATGGTCTCAGACATGCCATTAGACCATCATATAGTGATATGAGAGTGTAAAGTGAAGCAAGCAAGCGAAGGAAGCAAGCAAGCGAGGAAGGTAACCTGCCGTTTGGCGGGAAGCAGTTGATAAACGATAAACACGTCTTCACACGTACCCCGTCAATTTTAGCTGAAAGAAATTGTTGCGGCATTCGTAAAGTACCATGCCTTTCCTTAACGCTCAGTCTGGAGTTAGACTGTATTTCCTCAGAAGAAATTATATTGTTGAGAGCATCTTCATCTAGAAACTTAGAGGCAAAGCTCAATACCACTGCAACATATGTTTTATCTTCAAAAAATGCGGTTGTCTTGTTTTATCGTTCGCGCATAAAAGAACTGGATGGCAACTTGACTCGATTTGATGCGGTTTCCGAAGGGAAGGAAGAAAGGATAAAGAGTCCGGGAGACAAGTCGTTGGTTTTAAAGAACATATCCCAATTCATACTTGTGTGGAACAAGTCCAACGAGCTAAAGAACGGTAGTTTGGTAACGTTAAAGAAAGTATTGAATGACAAGCTTTCCATTGACTTCCAGGAGGACCATGAGGTCGGTAGCGTGTTCATTGGTAGGGTTATTTGGAATCAACAAAATTGGCAAGGTTAGAACATTAGGAGCGTCATTCAATCTCCTGTGATTTCGGTGCCTGTTGTGACTTGCCACAAGTCGCAAGGCTTAGGACTTTCAGCGGTCGTCCTGCACTCCGCCAGGGAATTTGTCTTTGGATTAGTCGAGTAAGTGTCTTAAGAGTCCCTCCAGGTCATTGACCTCAAAAGTCCTCAGATTTCACAGTAAAGCTCAAAGTAGTAAAGAGACTGGAAACTTGCACCTAACCCTAGGTTGTTGCCAAAAATGCTTCATTGCTGAGGAGAGTTCCTCTGGGGTTCATAACTTTAAAACATTGTAGACAAGGAGGGAGATGTTGACGAAGATTTTTAAAATTTCCTAATAGCGGTGCCGGATGGAATAGTACAGGCTTACCTTGAGAGCAAGGACGCAGAAGATATCAACTCTGTCTGCGGGTTTCCCTGATTTTGAAGGCCTTTTGAAGGAACTAAAAATGCTCCGAAATCAGTCTGATGGTTAACCAGGCAGTGGACACTCGAACAGCGCTCTTTTTTCACAGAATATGTAAACCATTGATTTGATTTTTGGTTTTTGAAAATCGCTTTAAAAATGGTAAGACGCCGATGACCTCACCATGAAAGTTACACGGGACGAATCTCAAAACTGTCACGGCTAAACAACACGAATTGTTTTCTTTGCCCTACTTTCCTTTAATTAAGGTACCTCTCAAACACTTCCACCTGCACTGCACCTCCTTAAAGAGGCAACTCGGTTCCAGGAGGAACAATTAATAGCTCTTCTCTGACGAAACCACGCTTTTGTCCATCTTTCAGATAGTAGAGTATAGACTCGCCTTTATTCAAATTGGTTTTTCGATATTGAAGACCTTCAGAGACTAGATTGGATCTGTGGCTCGCCTCTGACCACCTTCCAGTTCACCAGCGGTATAGAGATGTCTCGCATTATTTGAGGAGTTGAGTCGTTTAAGTCATTGAACTCTTTGCGTCTATCGACTTGTCTTTGATTCATCAATCGGGCTGCCTTCCAGTCAATCTTGTCTCTTCGCTCATCAAGGCTGAAACAACTTCTCGAAGCCTCTTCACCCATTGGGTAGATCTCTTTCCCTCCTTGAGGTTCATCTTCTAACTTTATTGGAAAGTGAAGAGATTCTCACCCAAAGTCCCTAATCCTTGTGAACGTTCACATTCCCTCTTCTTATCCTAGCACTGTGCTTTGTCATCTCTCTTGTGACATCACCTATGAATTCACGCCCAGAATCAACTTCAAGAACTTTTGGCCATCTTAATGGTCCTCGCTTAAAGATTGTCTGAAAAGTCTTTGAGACCTCAGAGGAGTCCTCTAAAGTGAGAGGTTCGGCAGCCTTGAATCTGCTTGCAACATCAACAACTGTCGATGTGTACTTATGGACTTTCTTACCTCTCTGGAGCCTGTCACGAGGAAGGAAAAGAAGACCAGTTTGATGAACTGCATTTGGAGATTCAATGTCAAAAGTTGTTCTCGGGATATGCTTCGGGGCAGACAAATAATTCTGCCCGATGGCTTGCCTCATCAACCAAAGCTTTGCAAGGTTCTCAGACACTTCAGCTTCTTGAGCCAACTTCTTCACAGCGGGCAATCCCTTCCAAAAGCCCTTTGGGCTATCGTAGATTCTTGACAGTTTTATTTCCATTGTACGGCTTCAAAGCATAATCCGTATCAACAAAACTCTGTTTTGCCCGCTCCTTGACTTTGTCACTAGTTGCAACCCAATTGAGAAGCTTTGTTCGATTTTCTTGATACTTTTCATAGGCCACTTGGTACTTCTCCACAGCGAGACCATGCCTCTTTTTCTCTTCTTCAGCACTATTCTGGGCTCCACTCAAATACTTTGCGAAATAGCTTCCGCCAACAAAGGCGGTCGCATTGATGAGCGCTCCTCTGATCATTATTGCTATGCTTGCTTTATTTACCTGCAACTATGTTTCTCACACCCTCCAGATCTTCAAAATTAGGGACCTTTAGCAAACCACGACGGCAACGGCAACGAGGGCGCGGCAAAACAAAAGACTACAACTACGCCAGACTCGAGAGTTACGTTCCATTTTACTTTCAGTTTTAATTTATTTTTTCTTTTATTTTTTATTAAATCTTTGAAAAATTGTAAAATTTTGAGTGGCAGCTCTCGGCCACCATAGTTGTGTCCATTTACTCAAGTTGTGATGTTGTTTTGATCTTGAGTGATTTAGAAGGTTTTTTTAGTATTTTGATGTCAGATTTCGGAGAAGCCTTGTGAGAAAATAATGCTGATCTTAAAGAGGCTTTGCTGAAATATGTCGGGCAAGGATAACAAAGATGAGAGATGTTAGATTTCCTCACTCGTGACTTTCCGCTTTACGCGTGGAGTGTAAGGATGCTTGATAGAAGGCTTCGTCATTTTGACATTTTTTTCAATGATGGTGCTGTTAAAGTAGATCATGTTATGAAGGCATTTGAAACTGAGCCAAACGGGCCTGGAAAGCTATTGGGATATCACGCAACTCACAAAAAAAAATAAGGCAATAGTAATTCAAGTAGTTCCGGACGGAATACCGGACCACATTTAGAACTTTCCAGAGCAATATGAACTCGAAGACTGTGTTAGGCGGTATACCCATGTTTATATGAAAAAAAAAGTTAAAATTTTGGAGAAACCGGAAAAGAAAACACAATGCGCGGTAAATTAGACTTTCGTTTTGATTTGATTTTGAGTTTATTTTTTATTTCGACGTGAATTGCCCTTGGATTTCAGTTTAATTTTGAAATGATTTTTACTTTGATAATGCAATTACTTTTGCTTTTAAATTTGCTTGCTATTTCATTTTACTTTCAATCATTCTTTTTCCTTTGTTTTGCAGTCACGTTCCATTTTACTTTCAGTTTTAATTTATTTTGTCTTTTATTTTTTATTAAATCTTTGAAAAATTGTAAAATTTTGAGTGGCAGTTCTCGGCCACCATAGTCCTCCAATAGATCATAAGTGAGAACCAATCAGAATGCGTACATAACTGAGCTTGATCATATAAACTCTCATAGAGCACGCTCTTTCAACCAATGACAACACGCATTATATCTGAACTTAATTATAATACAATTTTATCACTATGTCATGCGTGTCACGCGGGAAAACTATAATGTCGAATAGGGCACGTAAATCAAATCTCTCTTTCGTTGCTTTGGCTGGTTGTTGTTTTCGTTTTTAGAATTATGCGTTGAAAGTAGAAGGAACAGCACATTTTGCTTCAGGTTGTGTGGAATACATACGTTGGAGTGAATCAGGCAGCGGAGATAAAATGGTGCCTCGTCTCGCACTGGCTATCCTAAGGCGAGACAGTTTGAACGAGACAATTTGTAGTGGCTGTTC